GGCCCATCCTTGTCCAGTACCCCACACCTGAATCCCAACCCAGCCCACGACCCATTCACCTCCCTCACCGGCCAACGTCCACCCCATGAAAACCCGATCCAAAGCCAGTGTTTTCTATCCATAACAAATACTCAACTTGAACACATATGTGCCCATCTCTCCCTTACCCCTAACTTATCATAGTGCTCTAAAAGATCCAAAATGGCATGCTACTATGTGTGATGAATATAATGCTTTGACTAAGAATGACTAAGGCTGAATTTTCCATGACAGACATGGGTGATTTGCATTTTTTTCTCAACATCAATGTTCATCGTACACCCACTAGACTGTTTCTCCATCAGACACAACTTACACATAACCAATCTGAATCTGATGCATCGTGCGGCTCAGATTGCATCCCGCGCTCAAAATTTGAGATGGTGCATTTTCAAAGGATTTTGGTGCATTTCGACATGATGCATTTTCAAACCATTTTCGTCCACCTAATTTTGATACAATCCTGACCCTTAGATCTCACAATCTAAAGCACCAGATTCATTTTTATCTCTTTCCTAATATCGTATTCTCACCAGAACACACACACACACACACACACACATATATATGGGATTGACTCCAGTGAGATGACATCTTACGGTGAGATGACATGCTTCAGTGCGATGACGCCAAGCTCACCACACAATACTACAAAACTCACCAATGGACAATGCAAAGCTCACCTAGAAATGAAGCAGAGCTCACCATTTTGAACACCAAAACTCACCTTTTTTTAAAAATTTAAAAATTTAAAAATTAATAAAAAATAAAATAACAACACCGGTCAACCACCGGTCAGAGGCGGTGGTGCAGCGGCGGCGACCGAAGACCGGAGGCGGTGGCCAGCGACCGACGGCGGAGCGGCGGCGGTGGCCGGTGACTAGCGGCGGCCGGCGGTGGCAGGCAGTAGGCGGCGGTCAAAGGTCCCAGTCAACGGTCAAAATCTAGTCATCACCCCTTTGATTTTATTTTTTCAAAAAAAAATTCAAAGTGTTGAAAAAATATGGTGAGCTTTGCTTTATACTTTGGTGAGCTTTGCAGTGGCTCGTGGTGAGCTTTGCGTCATCTGACCGTAGCATGTCATCTCATCATAAGGTGTCATGTCACTAGAGTCAATCCCTTATTGTTCATAATGTATTTATCTTACCACACTATCGTTCCTAGTTTAGAGTGTCTTTTTTTAACAAAACTATGTTTATAATGACTTACTTGAGTAATATGTCCTATTCATTTAAGATTGATTTTTGAAATTATATGTTATGTACGTGGTCTCATAATCTACATGTAATATTTTATCAGCTGGTCTTCCTAAATTGTGCACACTCATTCTATTTAGTCATTATGTTTAGTCCACTACACTAGATATCCTTTGATCAATCTTTCCATAATGCTTATACCCACACCTAATGCTTTTGTTACTAATCTTTCACATTGTATAGTAATGTCCATAGGTGTTTACATTAATTTTCTTATGTCAGTGCTTATTTAGTCACTTAGTATTTATAAAATATGATGTGAATTATCCTTTATCGTGCAGGAATGATCGTGACCATCAATGTTTAGTTGACACGCGCCCACAAAAAACAAGACAAGCGATGTTTAATGTTGTTGTAGAATTTGTTAAACACCAACTTTTTGATGCAATAAAGATTCATTACCTGCTAGAATTCATGTTGATCTTAGTTTATTTTCATTCTTTCAGCTCTGTTATTATAATGTACTCCCTCCGTTTGGAAAAACCCTTCCCATTTTGATTTGGGGCAAAAATAAGGAAGTGTTAATTTATAGTTGATTTCCAATTTTGCCCCTGATGTGATGGATAAAAGTAAGATGTGATGGATAGATTATTATAGAAAAAGTATGATGTGATAGGTAGGGTATGAAAAAGTAAGGGTAAAAGTGGTTTTTTAATAGAAAAAGGAAGTGTTTTGTTGGAAGTGGAAAAAATGAAAGAGGAAGTGTTTTTGAGAACAGAGAGAGTAGTAATTTCCTCTTAGTAACTTATCACCTTTTTTTAAATGTGATAACAATATACTTATAATTTCCCCTCACATAATGTCTCAATCTGAAGCTTCATTTCATTTTGTTTTGAAAGGAAGCTTCATTGCATATAATGTCTTATTATGAACATTCATTACACATAATTTCTTATACACCATTATATCATTTAATGGTATTGTCCTTGCACATATTATCTTAATCTAAAGCTTCCTTTACATACGTGTCACACATGTTCAAAACCTTCTCAAATACAATCTAAAGCTTATTATTAGACGTAAGGTCCATTTTTAGTGCCATGAATGAACATTTTGTTTATTTGGTAATGTCCTTTTTGATGCCTTTAATAGTGTCCCCTCGTGGCACTCTCTCATCCATGTTTCTTTTTTAAAGAAAAGTGTATTGTTTACCCTCGAATTCTTCTGAAATTGCACAATTTACTCTCGAACATTAAAAAGTGCACCAATCACCCCTAAGCAATTTAAAACGTTAGATTTTTTCTCCTGAATTGCTAGACAGTGAAGGTCTTACTCCCACGCACACAAATTGCAAGTATGGAATCATCTAACCCTCGTGAATTTTCCAAAGTACCCTTCCTAAATTTTATCTTCTTATTTAACCCAACCCTAATAATTTTGCTAGATTTTATCAATAACAGACGTCGTCAAAGCCCTATTGCTCTTCATAATTGATCAAGATCTTTCATATATATATTTATGGAATTTTCGTCAAGTTTCAAAAACTGTGAGAAGAAAGATTCGAAAAGGAAGTTAATTGGAACACACTTTAAGATAACGTTGTACTAAAGTGATCGATGTTCGGTTTTTGACAGGTCAAACTGCCAAAGATATGTAGAAGCCTCATTGAACATCTCAAGGTGAAGAACAAAGATTGACACAAGACACAATGGCACCAAAAATATACCAAGAAGAAAACTTAGACTTAGGATTGAGTAGGTCTTATTATGATCTAGATTGGCATTAGGTTTCAAGTCTTGGCTCTCAAAAACTAAATCATGGTTTAACAAAACCTTCAAATCATTTTCATGCATCATTAAAACACTTTTCAAAATTTTTTCAATTTCCAAAAACACTTGGTTGTCGCCCCAACCAAAATCACTACGTTCGGGCGTTCGATGTTAAGGCTAAAACTAATAAATCTTGAGTATGGCAGAAATTTTTCTAAAAGTGATGTAGGCAACACTACATTGATGTTAGGTCCAAAGCTTCCCTTGGCAGTAAAGTCTAGAACAACGATGTTCAACTTAGAACATCGATGTTGGCTTCTAACTATTGGAAGAAATTTAATACAAAACTGACAATTGTACTTTTTCGGGTAGCAAACCTTCTAACGGTTAGTTTTCTCTCCGAGTATCGTGTCTCTCGAGGAGTGGACGAAGGGAATTAATTTAATCACTCTAACTAGGCGAAGGTTAGGATTGGTTTCTGAAAGTCTTCTCGGAACGATTATAAAAAGAGCAGAGTAAAAATAATAAATAAATTTCATATAGTATAAGTGTAGATTTGGACCTAGGGTCAGGACATCATTTGGATCTATTTTATCATATTTAATTAACAATTGGAATAATAATATTTCTATTATTACTCATCCATTTCTGGATTTGTACTTAATCCATTGCACTTGAATATCATAGCCCTCGGTTATATAATATTTTCTCAATAAATAGCTAATTAGATCTTTCGAGATTAATTAACTAAATAAGGCAAGAACAATTGACTAACCATTCCAATATTAATTTAATATTTAAAATATATAACCAAACTAGTCCGGACCCAGAGATCCGGACCCTAACTCATACTATGCAAACATAAATTAAAACAACATTTTATTAAATAAAGAAAACTTACAACATCTGTAAAAGAGGAACATAACAGATCTGGAGTCGAATCCTCCGAAAATACTCAAAAACTATTACTAAAACTAATATACAACTAATATGGAGCAAAATGGGAAAGGAAACAAGAAAATGGGTTGAGAGATGGTGTTGAAATGAAGAGGAGAGGCGCTGTTTATATAGGGACGGAGCCAAGGCGTCCAACTCCAAGCGTCCAGATCTGGACACTTTAGGTGTCTCGGCCAACCAGGTTCTGCCACGAGTCTTTCTTGGGCTGCAATTTAGTTGAAGCATCCAACCTTGAAGCATCCAACTTGGACGCCTCAGGCCCCTGGTCCGTTGGGCTTCGCGGCTGATACGTGATTTTGGCCCAATTTCATTCTTTTTGGCCCCGAACACTGTTTTTGACCTCTCGGAAGCTCGTTCAAGCCTGAAGCTTGATCCCTTAATGATTCTTCATCCTTTTCTCAAGTATTTGAACATAAAATGGATGATATATGATGATTTAATGTGGAATCCCTTTTATGGCTCTTAGAACGAAAATGAGAGTTTTATTCATTACAAACACATTTCATGAGATGATTAAATATTATTTACGTGCAATAACGTTTAGAATATGATGTAAATGATAAGAACGAAACGGACTTATCAAAAACCTTTCCTTCTTTGGAAGTCAACACTCCCATAGCGATAGATGTTGCCTCTACAACATCGATGTTAAGGTGATTGTGTGACAATTTAAATGAAAAGTCAGAGCCAAAATAGTGATGTTTAGTACTTGAACATCGATTTTAGGCCTATTTTCAATAGATGAACTTTTGATTTAATTTCCACAAATTATGCCAATGAACCCCAGTCTTTTCCGAAGCGTTACAGCTCTTTTTGGGTATAAAAAAGGGTCCTTGGGTCTACTTTCAACATATATTTCTTCACAACTTCTTTACTCTTTCATTGCATTATTCAAATACATTTTCATAGCTTTTGAGAACAATTTCATGAAGTTTTTGTTGTGTTCCTGAGCGTTCTTTAGTTACTCATAATCTACTCTTGAGGAGAGAGTTTTGTTCTTGAGTGTTTGAGTGTGGTACACACTTGAAGGAAGTCTTGTTTCCTTGGTTGTACGAAGAAAGTGTATGTTGGGAACTAGGCTTGGATAGGCAGCGGAAATATAAAAATTTTGATGTCCAAACGTAGATCCACCCAAGATCCCTTACGAAAACTATGAGTTATTGTTAAGAGATATACCTTTCTTGATGAACAAGTAGCGACATGTGGCTGACAGGATTGATCCAAAAGCTTTAGCCACAAAAGTATATGATCTCTAGTGCGTATACACGAACTTTATGCTAGTAATTTTCTCAAGAATATTTTCTTAAAATAAAAAATATTTGGAGTAATGAATTAAAAGAGCAAAACAATTTAATCTCTTAATTTAGGAGGAGGGATGGCCGAAAGTTCTAGCTATAAAATACGGGAGATCATATCTCCTATTTATAAGAAGTGCAATCCCCATCCCAATCCAACTTGGAATATGAATTTTAAAGTTTAGGAAAGAAATCAAATCTCATTCCTTATTTAATTACACAATTTTGGCCCTACCACTATTGATAGCTTCCAATTTATTTTGTCAATTTTAATTATCAAACGATAGCACAAAATAAATATCCTAACTTGTTTATATATATATATATATATATATATATATATATATATATATATATATATATATATATATATAGGGATTGACTCCAGTGAGATGACACCTTATGATGAGATGACATGCTACGGTGAGATGACGCAAAGCTCACTACGAGCCACTGCAAAGCTCATCAAAGACAACTGCAAAGCTCACCAAAGTATAAAGCAAAGCTCACCATATTTTTTCAACAGTTTGAATTTTTTTTGAAAAAATAAAATCAAAGGGGTGATGACTAGATTTTGACCGTTGACTGAGACCTTTGACCGCCGCCTACTGCCTGCCACCGCCGGCCGCCGCCGCCGCTCCGCCGCCAGTCACCGGCCACTGCCGACGGTCACCGCCGCCACTCCGCCGCCTGCCGCCGCCTCTGACCGGTGTTGTTATTTTATTTTTTATTAATTTTTAAATTTTCAAATTTAAAAAAAAGGTGAATTTTGGTGTTCAAAATGGTGAGCTTTGCTTTATTTCTAGGTGAGCTTTGCATTGTCCATTGGTGAGTTTTGTAGTATTGTGTGGTGAGCTTGGCGTCATCTCACTGGAGTCAATCCCGAACAATAATTAGATTAACCACAACCAATACTTAACATTCACATTAAAGATGACAATGGAAGATTTAGAAATAATGATATAATTTAATATAAGTTTACAAAAACTGATTTGTTGATTTGAGAAAGAGCAATGGAAAATTATATGTGCAAGGCATTACGCAAAATTAGATCAAAGGACATCTATGATTAAACAAAATGACTATGGAAAATTTAGGAGAAAGAGTGAAAATTTTGAGACATTTATGCTAGAAGATTATGTTAGAAAAATTACTAACACTATTACCATGACATCTATATTTCTAACATGATTGACAGAGATTACAAAAATATTATCATTTTTGCAACATAACATCATCCTTATATTTTAATGATTGGTCATAGTAAACAATTTTCTTCATGTAGATCTTTAATGTATTATTCAATTAAACTTTTTTCATTTCATAAAGTAAATAAATCGAGAATAACAGTCATTTATTTTATTATATATTGATGGGTCAATAAATAATTGCAGGAATGATCACCATAACGTTAAATAATAATACAATTATTATTACAATAATTTAGCGTTAGTTTAAAATAACCCAGAATAGTTCCTGTCAAATTTGATCAGATTTGTTTAGATCACATCAGAATAGACCATAACAAAATCAAATCAGAAACAATTAGGTCAGTCAAACAGAATGCAGGCTTAGTTTCATTTTTTTCTAGCAACGAGTTCACTACAATCCATCAAAATTTCAAAACTTTATTTTATTTGTATCTATGTCTACTGCACCAACACATACTGAAGTTTGGTAAATATACATCATTACCTATCTACTTTCAAAAGTTACATCATTATCCTTCATAATTCTGATAGTCCAATGCTAATGCTCATCTAGAGTAAAATACCCATCTATGTTGTGGTGCATAGGTACATTGGCTCTTTAGGTTTTGGAAATGGGCACCATTGCTTTCTCATCATTTCTTTTTGTTCTTGCATTTTCTTCCCTTTTTTTCAAAATAAATTACATTTTAGTTTTTAAGTTCTTTTTTAAAACTACTTTATATAATGTTTTTCATTAAATATTTTTTCTCTTTTTAGTTTCTTTATCATACATTGTATATATTTTTTAGATTCTTTTTTTAAGATTCTTTTTATAAAATTTCTTTTATTCTAATAAAATTAAAATAAAAGAAAAAAAGATTAAACACAGAAAATGAAAAAATGATACAAAAAATATATTTATAGAAATAGAAAGTAAAGTCATGAAGGAAATCTATTGGGCATCGGTAAAACAAGATCTTATTTTGTATTCTTTTGGTCCAATAGATTTAAAAAAGAACTAGTTTTGGGCATAAAATGAAAACATTTGATTTGAGACAAATGAAGTACATATTAATTTTTTTATTTTATTTTTCATTTCAAACAAAAACAATTTTTATTTTTTAAAACAAGAAACATTTTTAAAAAACAACTTAAAAATATTTGTGAAAAAAAAAACAATAAAGAAAACAAGAGAGCGAACATTAGTGTCTATTTCCAAAACCCCAGGGGCACTTGAGTTATTCACTTGAAGTTTGAAGGGTTCTTTCTAGAAAGGCGTAAACATAAGAATTTCAGAACTAGGATGTGGAGCGGCTGTGGAGCGGCGTAAACTTGGAAAGAGTGGGAGTATGAGAAAAACAATGCACATATATCAAAACCACAATGTGTATTGGTGCAATAAACTAGTTTGTATCGAGTACTCCCTTTACCTTCTTATCTAGTTATATTAACTAGATTTAAAATACAATATAATATTTTTAAAATATTTTATAAATTAGTAAAATTATTTTGTAATAATATCTAATATCAATTTTGTTTAATAAATAATAAAAATTTGTCAAAAGGCACAAACCACCTTTTTGGTTGTCCGTGATACAATTTGATAATAATTGGTCTTATTGAATTATGAATGATACATATCTATATATAGGGATTACAATAGAGAGAAAAGTTATATAAATAATACAATAAAGAAATTATATAATAAGAAAGGTAATAAATAATAATATTTTATTTCCTAATACATCTATTGTTCTTAATATCCCCGCCTTACAAGTTTAGCGAGGAGCACATGTACTTGAATTAAGCTGGCGGAAGTAGTTTTGTGAGAACACCCGGTAGAAGTAGAGAGTCAAGTCTTCGTTGCATGACAAACAAACTTGAAATTAAATTACGTTTGCTGAATTTTTTCTTGGTGAGAGTGTTGAAGATTAGAGCGAAGGCGAGGAGTTTCCTTTTTTCTCCTTGTGGGCCATTTTCTACTTCTCTATCGCTTTCCATGCTCTTGATCTCTACAAAAAATACAGACAAATGCAATTTTTCTACTCATCGATCACACACACATTTTGTTGGGAGAGAGAGAGATAATCATTTTTTGGAGAGAAAGAGAGGGATAATAGATGACGGTTGTTAGACACGCTCATCGAGATCAGTTGATGAGGTCATGCTGTTGGATGATCGACCACCGTGAACAGAAATTGGTGATGTGCTCGGTCTTAAAGAAGAGTCTAGGTTTTAGAGAATCTTAGCTCCGATATCATGATACGATTTGATAATGATTGGTCTTATTGAATTGAATTATGAAGGATATATTTGATAATATTTGGTGACATTTGGTGACATTTAAAAGTATTGGACTACTTGATCAAAAAAATAAAGTATATAATTATTTTGGTCAAAATTTTAAAACATTGAGAAGAACACATTTAAAAAAAAATCATAGTTAACAAAATTTCAAAATCACAAAGGAAATTATAATGTTTTAAATATAAGTTTTTAATAATTTGCATGACTTGATAATGATAATTAAATCTTATGTCCAAGACACAATTTTTAATAAATTGTGATATTAAATAATTTTTTGTTTTATTGAGATAATAATAATAATAATCATAATAATATGAAAATAAACCGAAATTATTTTTTAAGTCATTGTTGGAAGAATTTAGAAAAACTAGAAGAAGTTGAAAAATACTAGGAGTTGTAAGAAATTGGAATGAATTGGAAAAAACTGGAATAAGTTGGAAGAAACAGGAAAGAATTAAAAAAAACTTTTAAAAATTGGAAGAAATTAAGAGTTGAAAGAAACTAGGAGTTAAAAAATATTGGAAATTAAGAGTTAATGTTCAAAAGAGAAAGCCTAAATATCTCTTGTATGTTTTTATTTAGAATAAATTTCATAATTGGTCCTTTATAACATGAGGATTTCCCTATTTGGTCCTATATTATGAAATATTATTTCGGAGGTCCTTCTTTTATGGATATCTTTCCACATATAGTCATTTTTATCTTTTATCATGTTCGTGTTAATTTGAGGACTAAAAGTATACTTTAAAATAATAATATATGTTTCTTGTCATACACAATTCTAAAGGCCGTTCCTGATGAGTTGTTTGTGAATTACAGTCGTTTTCTATTAAAATCATAGTAGTGGTCTTTTGTCGTAATCCTAGCTCACAATTATAGCCATTATTTTTGTGTTATTCGTCTAACCAATATCTGAATATGTTACTGGACATAAGGTTTATGTCAAATTATACTTTTAGCATTTAAATTAACACCAGCATGATAGATTTGTAAAAAGGTACTCATAAAAGAATGACTACAGATGTAATATTTGATAATAGAGGACAAAATATGGAAACTCTCTATTATAAAAGATATGAAATTCACTCTTTTATTTACGTCCTACCCCATTTTAGGTAGGATAAAGCTATTTGTACTCCAATGGTTTGTACCCCA